AAGAATTCCTCATATCAATGAGATCATATGATACATGTCTTTCTCTGTTTGACTTATTGAGAGTGAATCATATTTTTAAAAAGATGTCCAGAGAAAAAGGTTCTACCACTTTCCTCAATTATACATCCAGTAAATAGGAAGAGAAATTTTTATTTTATTTATTTATTTTTAAAGATTTTATTAGAGAGAGAGAAAGCACAAGTGGGGAGAGGGGCAGAGGGAGAAGGAGAAAATCTCAAGCAGACTCCACGCTGAGCCTGACATGGGGCTCGATCCCATGACCCCAAGATCATGACCTGAGGCGTCCCAGGAAGAGAAAATTTTAAATCCTGGTAAATAGACATAAAGAGCCAGGGGCTTAGAGGGGAACAAGTGATAAAAGCATACCAAGCTCCTGATTGCTGCTACATCTCAGGCCATCGCCTCCATAAAGGCTTTCAATCTTCCTTCATTGCAATTTCTATTCATAAAACCAAATTAAAATGCTTGTAGAAATGGTCATTATCGTCTTAAAAGTGCCTTTTTTGTGATCTAATTTGAAAACATGCATACTCAAGACACATTTAGGCTTTTTCCTTCATTCTTCATCCTCAAAAATCATAACACTGAAACCAAGAGCCATGGGAATGCATTTGTGGAAAGAGTAAAAAATTTATAGGTTCCCCTATTAATAAAACATAAATGTGTCCCTTCTCAAGCTTCATTCCTATTTTGTGGGTCTCAATTAGTAGTCTAATGGTTGGATTTCAGTTCTACAGCATAAAATGCTGCTCCTATGATTAGGGCAATGGGACACATATTAACAATCTCCCCAGAGAGACTGAGGCATAGATGTGCACCTGAGGCTGAGTCCTTCCATGTGTAATGAGGAACCTCTCCAAAGACTGTTAGATACAGTGAACAGGAACAGGTAGGATGACACTATCTATATATACAGGTTTACTCTCATCTGGTTTTAGGTTTTGCTTTTTAAAAAGTATGGAAGGAGGGTGCCTGGGTGGCTCAGTCATTAAGCGTCTGCCTTCGGCTCAGGTCATGATCCCAGGGTCCTGGAATCGAGCCCCACACCAGGCTCCCTGCTCGGCGGGAAGCCTGCTTCTCCCTCTCCCACTCCCCCTGCTTGTGTTCCCTCTCTCGCTCTCTCTCTCTCCGTCAAATAAATAAATAAAATCTTAAAAAATAAAATAAAATAAAATAAATAAAAAGTATGGAAGGAGAGGCAATCCTACCATTGCTTTTGAAGAATTCCTCCATGACTTACCTGATAGAATCTGATCTCATGAGGTACAAAGATGTTTATTTTTTTGGGATCTCTTAGGGTGTCGACAGCCATGACCCCAAAGATCCTCATATATGCATCCTGAAGAGGCAGAGCCAGGAATGACCCATTTTGATCATTCTTCTTGAGGGAATGGTTCCAGAAAAAGATGTTCCCGTGGTGTTGAACTTGGGGCACGTGTATTGGCTTTCCTTCATCCACTACTGTGAAGCTGAGGAATAGGAATATGAAGATGGTAGAAAGGCCCAGGAGAAGGCTTTAGATGAAACTGTGCAGGAAATTAAATAAATTCTCCATTCATAATTATCGGGATTATATGTCAGAGAAGTGGACTCATGAAATTACAGTTGGAGAGTCTGACTTGAGAAAAAGTTTTAAAAAAACAAGCTTAGATCATAACAGGGTAAACATATATAAACAGGATGCCGGAGACATAACTTATAAAGCAGGCAGAAATAATTGAGCTGATATTGTGAAGCAGAGTCCAAACATGGCAAATCAATGCCTAGGAGGGAGCTCTAGGAATGACCAGGGCAATTATTCAAGACTAGAAACCCATCACCTCCCACTCCAGAAGCATTGGTGACTTGAGGCATTTCTCTCGTGGGCACCTAACTAGGATTTCAATACTAGTTTACTTCAGAAAGGGAATTATTTTTTTTTAGAAGGGTAAAACCAACCTCCTCAAGAAATTCTTACCTGATTCCCTTCATGTCCCTGTAGAGCACTCGGTTCAGTACAAATGGAGCATCATCTAAAGTACAAGCTATGTTCCTCAATAGAACTTCCCCTCTATCAGGCAGTAGTAGGTTCTCTTCTAAGAGGGAAATGTGAGCACTGATCTTCTTATTCCCATGGGCTTCAGCATCCTATGGCAAAATATTTCTGACCATGTATTTGCCAATAGCCAAAGAGCTATTACTTTTTTTTTTTGTTTAAAATATATATTTTTTTTATTCTTATGTTAATCCCAGAAAGAGCTATTACTTAAATCATGTCTCCCTTCATTAGCCTGTTTGAGGATCTGATCCCAATAATTAGCATTCATGGGCAGTGGGAAAAAGGCTGACCTCACAGCTGTCTCCCAAATCTGAGTTTTTGTGTGTTTTTTTTTGTTGTTGTTACATAAATTAACCCATTTATTATAGGCTAGCAATGTTTCAGATGGTGAAGCTTCTACTGGTCTTTCAACTCCTTCAGTCTTCTGATGGCAGACTTTACTGTGACGGCAGAAGTGGTGTTGTAGGTCCAAGCGCCACCAGTGACGGTTTTCATGCAGGAGCCACAATGCCAGATCCCCACAGCTCATCTTTTCATCTTGGTTTTGCCACAGAAGGGGCAAGTGTACTTGGCGTGCTGGCTTATTTCAATCTTCTTCACCATTTTCCCGAGGGAGGCACCATAACGGGTCCCATATTTCCCCACAATTCCGACCTTCTTGGTGCATTTAGCCATGTCGCCGCAAACTAGGTCTTCCCAAATCTGAGTTTTAATGAGTGGAATCGATTTACTTTATGTCAATTAAACTGGTTTACTTAAAAAAAAAATCTCTCATCTTACTCAAATTTAGAGGTTTAAAACTTGGATCCCTTTAAACTATAGTCATATTGTCTGGGCTTCACTTAAAAGTATTTATTTTAGAGGGCGAGGGTAAGAATATGGCTTCATTTCACTCATATTTCTTGAGTAGATTTTCACCATCTTCTGTGGAGTGAATGTAGAAAAAAATGCTCTCAAGGAATTCTTAACATAGTTTGGCTATGATATTTGATTTATGTCAGGAAAAAATTTCTTGGGGCCCCAGAATGCAGACTTTATGCAACTACTCTAATTAAAATAACTGAAAATTCTCTGTACCTAAAATATTATGATGTCATTAACCAGTACTATGATAATAGCATGTCCATAAGTTGGGGACATGAAAGATGCTTTCCTTGATCTTTGTCTCCTCTTTCTATATACTTAGGTTTGCTTTTCATGTTTTTTTTTCTTCTGCCTTTATTCTTTCTTTTCGACATAAAAGATCTATAGAGTAACTAACAAAAATGTACCACAGATCTCTGAAGCAAGTTGGAGTGATATCTCTTTTTCTAGATGGGTCTTCTGTTTCTGGTCACACCATTTCAATCTACACTGGAAAATTCAGCCATTCAGTAAATAAGTCCTTTAATTAAGTGTTGCAATTTAACTGAGATGAGTGATTCCAGGGTTCCCGGACTGGTGGAGTCTGTGACATATATAGGAGACAGCCATGCTATTTCTGCCTGGGAGGAGCAACCAGCTGGGAGTCTTGAAGAGGATGGCAAAGCTGTGGGCAGCGGTCCCATCAAAGGCATGTGTTTTAAGTGGCACGATTCTATAATAGTATCAGTGTGTTTCTAGGCAGTGCTATGAAATATTGTGTGATGTTGGATCCTCCTTTATAATGACTTTATGATTTAAATAGTTCCTTTGGAAACCGACTCCCAAAACATCATGCAAGGGAAATGTGGCTTGAAGTGCCTGCACATTTCCTTACTGGTATTTTTCAATATTAGTCTATTTTCTTCCTTAAGCTTATTTGACTCTCAGCACAAATGGAATTAGAAATCGCAAGACATGATTCTGTCTTTTATACCTTTCCTCTCTACTTCTACCTTCCCAACCTACAATCATTCCAGCTGCATCTTTCCTAGGCTTTGGGTCATTGTAATGTTTGGGAATGAATAAAACATCTATAGCAGTACCCAGTGATTTTTCGAGAGAATTTCGTGTGCTCCCCCTTTGCAACCATTGAACATCACCTACTATGAGGACATTTTTCCTTTTATATATCACCTTAGAAAAACCTACCTGGGTGAGGGCATTAAAGGTCTCCGTGTACACCGGCTCCAGGGACACCCCACTTGTCTCTGCAGCACGTTGGATTTGGTACAGCCATTTCCGTCTGGCACAATTCCTCAGATTCTCAATATGGCTCCTTTCTAAAGTATTCATCAGAAACTCCACAACACTTTCCAGAACATGATCTTCATTGCCCCTGAGTTCAGATACAACCAATTCTATGTATTTCTGAAACTGTTTTAAAGACAACCTCACTTCTTGGTCAGGGTGTGGCTTTGAAAATTGGATGTGTAGTTTAGCTAAAAGACATAAAACCAAGAACTAATCAAAAGTTCACTTATCTACTGGGGAAATTTTCATTCCCCTTTTATAGCTGACTGAAGCCCCTGACAACAGCCACCCATGGAAAACCAGGTATATCAAAGGCAACTCAAAGCCCAACAGAACACCTACAGTGACTTCCTGTATTGAGCTCAAGGTGTCCTGTGTCATCTTCCCTGTTTCTGTTTTTTTTTTTAAAGATTTTTATTTTTATTTATTTGAGACAGAGAGAATGAGAGACAGAGAGCATGAGAGGGAGGAGGGTCAGAGGGAGAAGCAGACTTCCTGCCGAGCAGGGAGCCCGATGCGGGACTCGATCCCGGGACTCCAGGATCATGACCTGAGCCGAAGGCAGTCGCTTAACCAACTGAGCCACCCAGGCGCCCTGTTTTGTTTTTTTTTAATGTACTTTTATTTTTAATTAAAAAAAAATTTTTTTTTCAGGGATTGAGAGAGAAAGAGGGAGGGGAGAGTGGGAGGAGGGGCAAAGGGAGAGGGAGCAAGAGAATCTTAAGCAGGCACCACGCCCAGCTGGACATGGGGCTTGATCTCACAACCCTGAGATCATAACCTGAACCAAAATCAGGAGTTGGATGCTTAACCAACTGAGCCACCCAGGTGCCCCTCTGTTTTGTTTTTTTTAACTCTACCACACTCAGCCGGGGGAAACCCCAGGGTCAACTTTGACTCCTCCCTACTTTTTACCTTCCATGTCCAACAGGCCACTTAATCCTATCCTGTTAGCCTTTGGCAATATATCTTGTGGCCACTCCTCTCCATTCCTGTTTCCATAATCCCAAACCAGTATTAATCATTTTATACATAATTAGATTACCAAGAGTAAGGCTCAATACATATTTATAAAATTAAATTAAGACACGACTTGTGACAAAAAGCAGAATCAGACCTATGAATACAGAGAACAAACTGATGGTTGCAAGAGAGAAGGGGGGTAGGAGGATGGACAGAAAGGGTGAAGGGGAGTGGGAGATACAGACTTCTAGTTACACAATGAATAAGTCACAGGAATAAAAGGCACAGCATAGGGAATATAATCAATGATATTGTAATAGTACTGTATGGTGACAGATAGTGGCTGCCCTTGAGGTGAGCATAGCATAATGTATAGAGAAGCTGAATCGCTCTGTTGTACACCTGAATTTAGCTGCTCCAGTATCTCTACTTATGATCCTGACCATGCCTTGCACACTTCTGCATCCATATCTTTTATTTTTTTTATTTTTTTATTTTTTTTTAGAATCTTTTTTTTTTTTATTCTTCTTTTATTTTTTTTAATTGTACAATTACGAATGTGCTACCAAACCTGAACATTACCAATAACACATCTTCCTCCATGGCCTGACCTTGTTCCATCCCCTGCCTCCCCACGCCCCCACCAATATCCTGAAATTTTGCTTTTGCTTCATCTTTCCCTTCCTTTTATTTTCCCAATAGTGTTATTCGTGTGTGTGTGTGTGTGTGTGTGTGTGTGTACTTCTAAACAATATGTGGTTTAGTTCTGCCTACTTGTAAACTTCAGAGAAAGGACATCATACTATGTATAGTTTTCTGGGACTTACTTTTTTTATTCCACATCATGTTACCATATCCATCCATGTTGTTCCTCTAGCTGTGACTCATTCATTTCCACCACTATATAGTATGTCATTTTGTGAGCATCCTGCCATGGATTTATTCTCCTGTCCGTGGGCATGCAGGTTGTCACCAGAGCTTACCCTTATGAGCAGTGCCATGAGCATTTTTATACATGTCTCCTGGTGCACGTGTGTAAGTTTCTTTGACACTTATTATAACTTATATATTATATATTATTATAAATAAGTCGTAGGGTATGTGCCCTTCTCGCTTAAATTTCAAATTTCAAAATCTCTCCTTCTTGAAGAAGGCTTCCACCACAATTTCTCCTTCCCTTGAAAGACAAGCAGCCATTCTGTATCAGCTATTTGACAACATATTGCCTGGTATGTTTAGTCATCTTATCAATGAAAGCTTCTCATTTTTATAGTTGGACTTTTGTTGATTATTGCTCTTTAGTATCCACTCATCTTTCTCCTGTTACTTGTATCCCAAATTTTGCTTTGGGGAAGCTACTCCACTTTCATCTCACTTTGTGTGTTTGAATGGGATTCCACTCGTGGCTTGAGAGATGCAGCATGCATCGTGGGCCTAAGCCAGTCAGGACATTCTGCTCCCACAGCCAGAGTGGTTGGTTGAGTCCAGACAAATGCCAGACTCTTTGCTTGAATTATTAGGAAGAGAACATTTTCCTTTTTATTCCCACTGGACTTGAATAAACCTGTGAGGATGTGAGACTGGACTTGGTCTCCACAGGGTAAAGGCTGTATGAAAATGTAGTCAAAACATAGAAAAGAGCAGGATCAGACTGAAAAAGACAAAAAGAAGCAGACACTTGTCCTAATGTCATTATTTGAACTCCCAAACCTAGCTGTGTCCTGAAATAGCCCTGGACTTTTCCATCATGTGAACTAATAAAGCCTTTTTTTGTTTAACCACTCTGGGCTGCGTTTTCTATTACTTGGACTCAAAGGGTCCTCAAGATATAGTCTTGAATTAAATTAAAAGTAACTTGTGGGTTCTTCCTCTTCTGTATCTTTTTCTTTTTCTCCTTTTATTCCTTCCCTTCTTGAACAATTAGGTCCTAAGCCATTGGTGGGGCAGGACAAGGTAAGCATCTGCTCCTGATCAAAGGAAGCCACGGTGGCCCAGAGCGGGGTATCCGAATCCAGTGGGGTAAGGAGGGCATTGATCAGGAAGTGACTTGGCATGGGTTGTCAGAGCCTGAGCAGGTGAAGATGTTATCCATGAAGACAGGCGATCTCCAGCCTATCTGAGTGGAGAGCGTGGCTCTGCAGAGGTTGTTTAGCTTGGGGTATCAGAACCTAAGCAGGAAGAAGAGGATATCCATATGCGGTATTTAGGCCTTTGCAGAGTGAGAAGGGCATCCAGATGGAGGGACAGCTTCACTTGAAGTCAGAACCTAAACAGTGAGAGGAGGGTATCCTTGTGGAGAGATAGCCTGGCATGGGGAATCAGGGCCCAAGCAAAATGAAGAGGACTTCCAAGTAGGAGTTCAGCTCAGCATAAGGAATAAGAAGCCTGAGTAGATTGAGGAGAGCATCTACATGAAAAGATGCCTTGTCACAGAATGTCAGAACCTAAGGGGTGTATGAAGGGCATTCACATGGAAGGGGGATCTGGTATGGGATGTCAGAGCCTGAGCAGAGTAAGGAGGGAAGCTGTGGGAAGGGAGATTAATACAGGATGTTGGAACTTAAGTGTAGTGAGAAGGAAAAGACATCAGTGTGGGGGAGAGGACAGTGTGGTGGGAGATTAGTTCCACACAGGGGGATTGATTAGATAGATAGATAGATGATAGATAGATAGATAGATAGATAAATACAAGCAAGAGAGAAGGGAGCTACAAAAAAGGGAGAAAACTAGAATGAACCCTGTTACTATTTTGGCCTGGAAAGTATGGGTGTGAACTTATTGTTTATAAACACACACACACACCCATACACACACTTCCCAAGAGAAACTTGGGAGCAGTGACCTGGGAGCAATAAGCATGTGTAGAACCAAGATCTTGGCCTCTAAATACCATTCCCCACTAAAAGAAACCGGGGTTCCTTGGAGAAATGGGTGATGCCAGGGTGGGAGCAGGGAAAGTATAAGACGAATCTAGAAGATCTCATTGTGCAAAGCAAGGAGGTGCTCAGAGAATGATAGATACATGTTAAAAGGCCACAGGAAACATTCTGGCAGTTTCTTATATAACTAAAAATACACCTACCCTATAGCCCAGAAATCCTACTCCTGGGTATTAAAGAGAAATAAAAACATATATCCACACAAAAGATTTGTACAAGATTGTTTATAGCATCTTTGTTCATAATAGTCAAGAACAGGCAACAGTCTAAGTGTCTATCAGTTGGAGAATGGACTAACAAACTGTAGTATATTCATATTAACGGAATACTATTCAGAGAAAAAAGAAGCAAATTGTTGATATGTGTAACAACATTTAAGAATCTCAAGAAAGAATATGCTGAGTGAAAGAAGCCTTACACAAAAGGGTACAAACGATTCCATAAATATGGATTAGAAGGGATAAAACATATCTATAGTGGAAAACAACCAGAAGAGCGCTTGTCCTGGGGATTTGGTGATGGGGATTGCATAAGAAAAGGGCATGATGGAACTTTGTGTTCTATATCTTAATAGGGGTATTGGATGCACAAGTTATGCTTTGCAAAAACTCAGTGAATGTACACTTAAAAATTGTATGGTTTGTTGTGTGTAATTTTACCTCAAAGGAAAAAAAACTGTTAACGTATATCAAAAACTAATGATGTACTGTATGGTGACTAACATAATAAAAAAATTATAAAAAAACACATCTTCTTTATCCATTCATCTGTCGATGGACATCTTGGTTCTTTCCATAGTTTGGCTATTGTGGACATTGCTGCTATAAACATTGGGGTGCACGTACCCCTTCGGATCACTACATTTGTATCTTTGGGGTAAATACCCAGTAGTGCAACTGCTGGGTCATATGGTAGCTCTATTTTCAACTTTTTGAGGAACCTCCATACTGTTTTCCAGAGTGGGTGCACCAGCTTGCATTCCCACCAAAAAACATATATCAAACTCTAAAGATATAGATGCTGAAGTGTTTAGAGAGGAGTGTATTGATGTCTGCAATTTATTTTGAAATGTATCAAAAACAAGAGAAATGGAAGGATAGAGGGATAAAGAGATGAATAAATAGATAATTTTTAAAAGTGTAGTAAAATGTTAATTGTCGAATCTAGGTGGTGGGTATATAGGTGCTCACTGTAAAACACTTTTAGCTTTTCAGTATGTTTGGAAAATTTTTTAAAGATTTTTGAGAGAGAGAGAGAGAGAGAGAGGGCACATGAGCGAGAGGAGG